AATCCACTAGAATTCCACATCTAGTGGGAAACCCACTTGGCATTTAATTGTCAATAACTCATCCTGACCAGGGATAACCCCTGCAGCCAGCCCTGCAGGGCAATGCTGCCATCATAAACTCTTTTTTTTCCAGCTTTTTCTTGGGTTTTTAAGCACAACACCCACGTGAGCTGCAATTATTCCTCCTTGTGCATGAAATATTGTGGGAGGTCAGCCACAGGCAGCTGTGGTAAGCTATAGCAGCACTCCTGGGACAATATCCCACAGCCTTGGAAAGGAAAACAGGGATTGCGGCACTGCAAAATCACTGGTGATAGGGGGAATTGCAAGAAAAAAAAGGCAGGAATAGAGCAAAGTGGAAGCTGAGCTTGGAGGGAGTTTGTGCATCCAAAAGCTGCTCTGAAAGGAGTGTGGGCACCACTATTTTCTCCCAGGGAACAAGGGACAGAGGAAACAGCCTGAAGTTGCACTGGGTGAAGTTTGGATTGGAAATTAGGGAAAAGTTCTTCATTGAAAGAGTGGCCCAGGGAAGTGGTGGGATCACCACCCCTGGAAATGTTTAAAAACTGAGTGGATGTGGCACCTGGGGACAGGGTTTGGTGGTTGTTGTGCTGGGTTAATGGTTGGAATCCAACCCAGAGGGCTTTTCCAACCTTAATTAAAGGCTCTGTGGTTCCTGCTGGGGGGATTCAGAGGAAGGGACAGCTCTTCCTGCATTTCCTTGATGTGGCTTTGTGATGGGTGTTTTACTCTAGGTGAAAGTAAAAAGGATTAAGTTGTTATTGTGTTGTCCCAAAGTGTTTTATATTCTTTTAAGATCTTTTGAAGGTGAGAGTTCAAAGGGGATATATTGTTATTTTTGGTATGGTAGTAAAAGTGAAATAGTAATAATTGAGTGGGATTTTGAGTAGGTAAGAGCTAAGCTTACATTTTGTCTGGGGCAGGGTAACTTTATAGAAATACCACTACCATGGTAGAATTGTGCCTATGAGCAAAAAGGCCTCTGCTCTCTGCTCCAGCTTTTTAGATCAAGGCACTTAGTGTAAGTTTCTACTAAAAGCTAAAATCTATATTCTAAATCTATATTTCTATTTCACTGTGTAGCTTCATATATCTCAGTTTCTCCAGGTCAATCCCTGTGCCTAAATTTTCCCTGTGCCCTGAGGGGCTCCATTCCAACCCTGGGAGGAGGGATTGCGAGCCAGGGGGATGCTGTGGCTGGAATTCTGGAATTCTGTGACCCCAGAGAGAACTGGAGAGCCACTGGCAATTTCACTGTGGCTTTCCAAAGGAATGGGAGGGGTTGTGTGTGGCATTCACATTGTCTGAAAAATCTCTTTGCCCAGGATTTTTCTCCTGGGAAGCTGAGAAGCCTCAGAGAAAAAGGAAAACAATTCTTATCTCATTTGCTTCTCCTGTGTTGTGCTCACATGTGGAATGTGTTTGGAGATTGTTTACCCACAGGTGATTGTTCCATTGGATTCTGCTGTGAGTTGTTTTCACTCTTTGGCCAATCAGGGCCAAGCTGTGTCAGGACTCTGGAGAGTCACAAGTTTTCATCATTGTCTTTTTAGCACTCTGTAAGTATCCTTTCTGTATTCCTTAGTATACTTTAGTTTAGTATTCTTTAATATAATATAGATCATAAAATAATAAATTAGCCTTCTGAGAACATGGAGTCAGATTCATCATCCCTCCCTGCCNGGCTGGGGAATCCCTGTGTTAAACCCCCCAGTTAAGCCATGGAGCTGATGCTGTTTCCCTCTGTTTTTCCAGTGGCTGCTGCTCGGTTTGAGGCCATCCTGCCCCCTCCCTCTGTGGGCAGGGGGAGCCTCCTGGCCCCAATGGCCCTACTAAAACCTCCAGGACAGGCAGCACCAGCACAAACCCGCCCTGAGTGAAGGGAGGCTCATTTTGCAGGAGCTGGAAATGTGCTGAGTTAATGCAGGGCTGGGCTGTCCCCTTGTGCCCCACAGTGATAACCTTATCACACATCCCCCAGTGTGTCCTGCAGCACTGAGACACGTGGGGTGTTCACCCTGGAATCCACTCCCATTGGAATTTGGGGCTGGAGAAATAAAGGTGTGGGCAGAGGTGACCTTGGCACCTGTGTGTGCTCTGCCCACCTGCTGGCACCAGCTGTGTGTCCAAAATGGGGCTGGGCAAACCTGCCTGGCC